ACATGTGTTTACTTCGTGAACAAAATATCCAAAGGGTTGAGGCGGCTGATAAATATATGTAACATGCGCGTGGCGGCGCTTCACCCGGGCAGAACAAATATCGTATTCGGTGTCGGAAGAACGAAGTTAAATACACGTTATTTACATTGTGTGCACGTATTCGCGAACAAATATTTGTTGACGCTTTTGTATTGCCGAATTACGGTAAACATTGATTTACACTCTTACGCACGAGATATGGATATAGGTAATCAATATGGTAATACGATATAGGTGTAAATGGCTGTTGCGATTTACTCGGTGCTAAGGAACGTGATTCCATCGCGATTGACATTGTTTTCGCGACACCGGTCTATGAGTGGCGTTGGGATCGATATGATAAATAAAAAGACGCCGAACATGCTTCATGCAGTTACATCGCAGTACCGTCCTTTTGCGCGTATCGGATTTGAATGACGCAAATGGTACGGCAAATTGACGTGAAACGTCCCTTCAAGACGATTCATACGAATACAAACACGATCGCGATTATATTGCTGGAACTGACAACAGTCACATGCCCACAAAAAATCCAATACCGATCGCACGTGAGGTTAAAATCGCGTTGCAATGAAAATATCTTATTTATGGCGCGCTCAAACAGTATACGACAAACAAACAGTATGCCGAAGAAACAGTATAAAATTATAATACGTAATTCCGCGTTTCTACAACAATACGTACATATGAGCGTACGAGTGTGTGTGTGTGTGTGTGAGAGAGTGAGCGAAACGCCCTAATCTCTTTATACATTCGGACGGAATGTAATTACAGCTAACGGCTTTCGAATATTCGTCTTTGATATGATTTTATGTCAATAAATAATTGAATTGTATAACATTATGTCATGCGCCACTTGACGTAGCAAATCGTCAATTTACATACATTATGCGCTTAAATATATTAACCACTCGTGACATTCAAATTTATCATCAGCCTTCTCGCGAATCTACTTAAAAGTAAAACGTGTGTTATCGAATAAAACTTGGAAGTTTATCGCAAGTTTATAGTATGTGCTGTATTATATACTCGTACTATAATAAATAAATTAAATTTTTCCACCGTTGAGTTTTTCATCGTCTATTTTTTTATAAAATGTTTACTTGTTGATTGCTATTTAATTAAAATTACTATTTTAATCTAGATATTTTTCAATTTGGGTTTAAAACGGTATTAATTCTTAGTTGAGTATTTTATAGCATATTTTATAGAAACTAAATTTATTTTATCATCTTGTTATTTTTTTTTTTTTTAATACGATGTATCAGATGGAGAAGTTAAAGAAATTTCTTTGCATTTACCCACTTTACTCTATATATTTGGCAGTTAACGAAGAATATTAAATATTTATGGAAATACCTCAGAGAACTATATAGTTTTTTCTGATACAGGTATATAAGCAATTAAATCCGCGGAATGCAAGTATCTTTTTACAAGACAAAATTAGTATAAAATAATAATGAAAAATGCAAAATAAACGAGTTTATTTACCGAACCGTATAAATAAAAAATCTGGCATTGAAGAAATCGCAAATATCACGGAATCCGTCAAAAAGTGACGTGATTTTTTTAAGAAAAGATTGAACATCCAAATCCAGTACAAATATAGGCAATCAAATTTAAATCTTATCAAGCAATCGAGATGAAAACGAAGCAAATGTAACTAAATATTAATTTATTTAAGGACAAGTAATAATTTTAGTACTTAGACAAAAATTAAGGATTTTATATCTGAGGGCAAGATTCCTAAGACAGGTGAGGAACCATGGTAGGGTAAAATATAAAGATGGATGAATGGTATTGCTGTATTAGTCTTTAAAACTAAAAACCAATGTAGCATTGACATCGACAGACGATTTGGTGTGGCGGAAGAAGTGAAGCGAATCAGGTTAAATTTTTGAAGGTGATTGATATAAAAAAAAGAACCTAATATCTGAATAGGATAGGTTGAACGTTTAAATGTTCTAACTTTCTCAACAAAAAGACGTCTAAAGTTTTGGTAAATCAAAGATTTCAAGTGGCTACGAAAAGCACAAATTTCATAAAAATATCACAAAACAATGAAATTTGTTTGACTAAATAAACAGTTAACATCGCAAATATTTCTATAAATATAAAACCACAAGAAAAATAACCCCTGCTCAAAATTAATACGTCCAGACAGACGTAGACACGCGTACAAGTCGGGACAGCTGCTACGCGATGCTGCTGACGTATTACCGTCAAAAGTTGACGAACCGATTAAACCGTGCAGGAGTCGATTGCACGTCGCGTCACGGGAAAATACAATAATATTATGTTAGCACAAAGTGGCGACCGGTCGGCGTCGGGTTTTCGTTGCGCGAGACCCTGTTTAACAGTGGATAAAAATACGATTTCTCAATCGCGCCCAGAAAACTCGTTCGGTCGAACGTGACGTAAAATATGCGTGTACACACATAAATATCACAATATGTTACGCACGGGCTTTTCTGCGGACGAACGAGGAAAACTGGTTTCGTATATTATAATGATAATAATAATTGCGGTCAAGTACGGCGCACAACCTATGTACATTGCTGTACGAACACGGTGAGCGGCCGCGTACGCGCCGGCGAAGGGGGTTGGAGGTCAATTTCGCAGTAAATTATGATTTGCATAAATTTCCTGACCGGGTCCGCGGGCCGTGCGGCTCGCAGAAGTGGGGTGGCGGTGTCCGACGGTAGGGTGGGAAAATCTCGGGCCAGCTCGACCGTTAACCAATAAGTTATTTTTATATTTGTTCGTTTATTATCATTATATACGTATGGACGCGTATTTTAATGAAGACGGAACCCGAACAATGCGCGCGCAAATGTTTGCGGACTCGGTGTCGAGTTGCCAAACACTCGATTCGTAAACACGTCCACCCGGGCGAGTATTATGCTTGAATGAAATCACCGTGATGGAAAAACGAAACGACGTCGTCTAATCCGCGCGGTCCGTGTACGTTCACCTGGGCGCGAAATATTTACGACGCGATATTATATTATGTAGTTGTTGTTGCCGTTGACCGTCGTCGTATAATTTATCGATCGAGTGTGCATTATGTATAAACGAATGATCATTTTTTCTCTCGAGTTTTTTATTAGAAACGGTCGCATTGTGATGCTCCGGTGAATCCCTTTCGCGCGGAGATTATTACATCGGGCACTTCATATCGTCATTGTGCGCGTGTTTTCATAAGAGGTCCACGCCGCCGTCGCCGGGAGGGTCAAATTACAAGGTGGCGAAGAAAACATAATTATTATACGATTTCACAATTAAAGGCTAGAACGTACATCGCATTATTATACACACACGTAGCCGGTCTACAACTGCACGTAGCGGTGGTAAACGGGTTTTCTGAAATAAAAATTACGCCCCGAAAAACGCATAAAGTGGTACACTGATTACATCCATTGAAAGAGTGGAAAATTTCTTCCGTCCGCGAGAGCAATAAAACGTTACATTATGTTATTATTATTATTATTATTATTACACACGTACAGTGTCGCAGCCGTTCTTTGTGGCGAGAGAGGTAAAAAGAATAAATGTCGAACCCTCTCGCTTTTATTTATAACGCTACAATTTGAAATCAAGTACCGCAATGTATATATTACGCGCGCTAGTCGTCGTTGTTGCCGTTGAGTTTATTATTTTTAAAATAATAATTTCGTGTTCTTCAACTCCTTTTGTGTTTTATGTGCACGCCTTGGCACGTTAAACCGTGAAATGTGTACGAGCATCAGGTCACATCACTACTTTGAATAAAACGGATGTAAAAAAACCACCGCAATCAAAATATATTGTATTGCACCTTGTATTAACTCTTGTTAAACTTTTACCATTACATAACATTATCGTAATAATAACAATAAAAACACACACACACACACAATACTCTTAAACATTTTTTTTTCATCACAAAGTTATTGCAATTCAGGTTTTATCGTACCACATATTATCAGATGCATAACGTACAACAGCTCAAACTCGTGTCGATAAGACGTACATTTGATGCGGTCATCTGACGAAATATTTTCCATGAGATCGTATGCCTTTTGCTGCGCGGTGCAACCGATACACGATGTGTATTTCGACATTTATGTCGTATCCTACCGTGTAATAATAGGCGATTTGAAAAATCAATAATTCTTATAACCTCGATAACGCCACGTAAGTATGATATGGTTTTTCGAAGACATTCTTGTCACAAGTATGTTTCCGATCAACAGAAATGATTATCAAAACTCAACGGGTTACAATAATAGCTAAAAAAAACCAACACCATAACTTTCATGTTGATTTGATCTATAATTTCTTAACAAGAACTTTGAAAATACCTAGTATAATGTACTCGGATTGAACGAAACAATAAACATATGAGTTGATAAAAAAGATGTAATCGTTTGAATAACGATAAGATAGCCATTGATGACATACAAGTACAAGAATCATTAATAAATCAACTTGTTTGTTTTATTTTTTTAATATTGTACAGTTAAATCTCTTTTTAAGAGGGTATTAACAGTACTAACAGCGGAAATTAATGGATTATAGTGGGGACAAGCCGGAGGATAATTTTATGTAGGATAAAAGAAAAAAAAACAGTGAGCGATTTTATATCAGACTATAAATATTGATTTGTATTTATTACTAACTTAATGAACAATACAACAAATATAATTAATAATTAATAGCATAAATTAACAATAAATTACCAAGTAGGTAACTTATCAACTTGATTGTTTATTGGTTGTGCATAACTGTATTTTACATGGATATGTGTAATAAACGTGAGCATTTTTATATTGGAAATCAGAATTGTATCATGTTAAAGAAGAAAACAATGTTGTTTTTACAAATCAATGCACATATTATTATGTACCGAATCGGATAATTATTTATTATTTTAAAATTATATTACGGCTTATATATTTTTAATAACAACATTATTATACCTTGGTTCGTTGCCGTGACTTTATAACATTGTTGCGTTATACATCTTCCAAAAGCTCAATACCTGCATCTCTTCCGCGATCGGAGTAGAAGTCTATATTTAAATCAAAATAGAAGGAGCATAATTTGCCACGAAAAAAAAAAAAATGTTTTTACGTTGAATAATCTAGAACGACTAACGGAATAAAACATTGTTACCCTTGCTCTTGTTGTGTTAATCCATCTGTTTTGGTATCTATGGTTATATTGTTGTAGCACGCGTCACGCAAAGATGTATATCGAGTTCTACGTAATATACAAGCAAGTTAAGATAATCATGCACGATAATATCGGAGGGACAAGGTGGACTAGTAACATATTTAAATTTTATGTTAATAATATTATACGCTATATGGTTCTGATATTTTACAACCCTCTACAAAAGCAATTGAAAAAATTGCTTTTAACACACACGATATATTAAAATGAATATGCAATTATTAAAGAAAATCTCTCTTAGGGTTGATGATTACCTATGATTATATTTATATCAGGTTATCAGGTGAAACATAAACTACATAGGGTAGTTAACATTTTAATTGACTTAAATTTCGATTGTTTAATTTATCGTTTATCGTTTATCGTTAAACTTAAAAATGGTTGACTTAACAATAGCGTTCAAAATTATTTGAGCCGTTTAATAATATTATTAAGGATTCGGCTTAAGAATTTTTGTTGTAATAACCACTTTATTTTTTTATCGACTAATGAATTCATTTTCTATTATGTTTGTAATACAGTTGTTTAATTTATCGTTGTAATTGTAAAAAAAGTATTTAAAGTGTTTTTAAAAAAAAAAGTATTTAAATTCGACTTGACAACTGCCGGCATCTACAATTGCTAGCAGACGTGATGAACAGTAACTGTTAATGTTTTTAATTTAAAATATATTATCTTTAAACAAACGGCGATGTTTTAAACAATAACACGCAAATTGGCCGGGCGTCGATGACGCGTTCGAACATTAATCATAATTTACACAAATTATCGTAACGGTCCGACGGTTTTCGATACCGAAACACGGATAACTTTACATTCAATTCTACCACAGACTCGGTTTAACCACTAGGATCGGGTTGAAATGTGTTTTGCTATTTTTCGGACGGGTTAACGGATCCGTATGGGGGATGAACGTTCATTTTATTTTTATTAAACACGTCGTTCCGTCGAACGCATTTTACACGTGAAACACGCGTGGCCGGTGCGAGGGAGAGGAGGAAGTGCGCGAAGTTAACGCGCCCCCGAAAGCATTCCGCCCGACGGACGACGGATTGTTACCGACTGGGGACGTACGTCGATCTCGCGTCCGTCACGGGCGCAACAGTCGCACGCGAGTTGGTAGAGCTGTACGACGGCGTTGCGATTGAAATCTACTTCGGACGCCGCTACGCGTTACAGATTGCACATAAAAACGGTATTTTTTCGTTCTCAGCACGTCATTTCGGAGCGCCTTTTCGACCCGGACGAATCGAAAAGAACGGGCACGTAACAATCGCCCGCACCCCGTCCCCGATCGTTTGGATCGCAAACGATTTTGGAACGGACGTCGCGGACGACATGCGCTCGTTTGTATGGTTTTGAAAACGCTGCGGCGCTCGAGCGGGTCGACAAGAGTGCAATAACGGCACGAAGACGGCGGACAGGCCCGACTCGAGGGGTAGGTGGCGTAGGCTCAAGACTAGGGCGGAATTTAACATTTTTAAACAGTGGATAATTTAAAAAAAAAAACACTACATTTACTTGTACCTACTCATACCAAATTATGCGTTGTAAAAACTGTTTTGTTTTATTTAAATTGGCAGTGGTTCACTTGTCTATAAATGTACAAGTTTAAAAAATTGTTATCACTTCACATAAATAAATATAACCAACTCGGAATTAAGTCTATTTCGGTACTGTTTATGTAAGAACAATATTCGATGTAGTATTTACACGTGAGGTGGTCGGCAAAACTTAGGTTTTGCCTAGGTGCAAGTAAACGTTTGAGCCGGGTCCGGCGGCGGAAGTGTTTCGCGGTGTGCCTACGTTATGCAATATACTTGCGCACGTCTGCGGCAGAGATTTCGGGCTGCGGCCGTTATCATACAGATAGCTCATTACTCGGTTTCCGAACACCGCGTGTTTATTTTGTATTATTTTCGCACGAGGGTCGGCCCCGGACAGCACAATGCCTGCATAATAGGTATTATCGTTCCCTTTCTTTCCGCCGCCGCTCCGGTGTACATTACTTTTTTTTTTCACTCCTATTCACGATTTTTCCTTCCGCCGGATCACCGCATTCTTTTGCGCAACGACGACTTCGACAGTCATATCGTCGTAACCACCACCACCACCACCACCACCACCGCCGCCGCCGATCGACCCTAAGGGTTACGCCCGAACACATTGTCCGTCAAAACCACCGCTTACGACCGATATGTACGTATAGGTATGCAGGCACGCTCGTTTTGACATAATACGTGACAGCCGCTACCGAATCGCGGCGAGGTACAAATTTTCACACCCTACACCGCTGCGGCACCACCCGACGCTCCTCACCGGTAGTCTGTTCCGGTTCCTTGTCGTCGTCGACGTCCGTGTTATTATTATTATTTTTTTTTCCTTCTTGTTTATTTATTAATCTTTTCCCTTCCCCACCCGGATAATATTATTATTAAATTCTATTACCGCCGCGCACACCCCTCGTGTAACATACGAGACGACACTCGCCGCGCGCGCAAAACAGCACCGCGTCCACGGGTGTCGGTGATTTACCGTGATCGTTTTACATTATTGCCTTCGCCGCGGGCACTTCCGATAAAATATGCCTACACGCCGCGAGAAAACTATTTGTTTCCATTATAATATAAATGTTTGTGTATACATACCGTCCGTCCAAACATCGAATTTACCTCGTATTCGTTAACGATATTTCTCCTCTCCGATCAGCTGTTCTTTTCCGCGTGTGTACCTACAAAACAGTTCGGAGGCTTGTACTTTATCGGCACTCGTAATACACAAGTCGTTTACCTTTACCGCATACTACCGGTATAACGATTTCGAATAACTCGCGCGGACGCATTCAGCGATTCGATTCCATTGTATACATTACCACGATATCCATAGGTGTCGCAGGATTACGTTATACGTTTGCTATTGTAACCACGCATCGCGTTTACTTATTTTTCGGTATTTCATATAGATTTAAAATGTTCACGGTGTACACAAATAGTTCTGTGCAGTTTTAGTACAGGAAATGCAATCCGGCTTTTAGCCTGTTGATAAAATATCACAAACTCGTTGATATTTTATTAAAATATTTAAAAAAAATCCTCATTCCTTAAATTTATCATGACATTTTTTTTTTTTTTAGTATTATTTTATTAACATTGTAGAGCCAATTTATATTTATAATTATTTTGCAGTTTTGTTGATTTTTTGATTTTCATTTTTGTATACCTTTAAAATAAAATATTGTAACTTATGTGAACTCAAACATTAAATAGAAAATAAAAACTGAAAAAAAATCATTATATGACAGGCTTATTCATTTCCCCTTTTTTGGTTTGATAAGACTTTTGACTATGAAATATCGTCGAGCATTTAACTAAATATAATATATTTATTTCATATCGAAAATCAGGATCTATATATATATATTAAATGCATTATGTATATAGAAAGACACATTTTCGGTAATTTGTTCAAAATGAAATGGTTTTAAAACGTAATCGTCAAGATAACCAGCAAAAATACTCTGTAATGTCAACAGGATATATGCACTGAGCCCTCTATAGTTAAAAAAAAACACCCAGACAGACGAGGTAATGGATACAGGGTAAAAACACTTAGTGTCAGTGTAAGATATTTTTTAATTTATAGTTTCATTTTCCGAAATTGATTTTTAACGACATATGAAAACTATATTTATATATGTGAGGGTGCGTGTGTGTTTGTATCATTTCCAGTATGAGCATCAAAGGGATACGAACATTATCATAAAACTCTGTCCTTATTTTATTATTATAGGATTTAAAGACGCAGAATACGGATCCGTATAATATTTCGGGTGACTAATGTATTGCTTAATGTATACGAAGGAAAGATTGCGGTAGACAACCGTTAGTGAAGTATAATTTATTTTAAATAACACTTATTTTTATGTTTTTCTTTTAAAAAATATATCAAATTTTACTCGAATAATATAAAAACTATAGTTCACTTTGGTTCAAAAGTCCATTAAACTACCGTAATCTGTCATTTTCATTATAAGCATGCTGGTATGGAAGCTTGGATATTAATGAACTAATAAGTTAAACGTACCTATTTATTTCTGGTAAATCAACATAAATTATTAACTTAACTTATTAACTTCGAATTTTAACGTAAAATTTACATAATATTTTTTTCAATCAGTAAATTATTGAATTTTCAAAACCAAAATAATATTTTTCCTATACTTCGTTGGATTACAATGTTAATAGAATCTGGGAAAATATCAAAATAGAATAGAATAGAAATTATGAAATAATAATTAATTTTTTTTATTTTCAGATGAAAAATAAATGGTTTTGGTAATAAGTAATAACTATTAAGTATTTGTTGCTACAGCACATTAATTATTTCATAGTAATTGTGGCAATCTACTATTAACTCAATGTTACAACCTAATATGTGTTGATCCGCTTTATATAATGAATAGAACAGAACACTGTTTAAATTTTTAACCCCTTATAGTTTGGTTACTGAACAAGATAAATCATGTATATATAAATGACTATTTAAATGTATAAAAATATAAAAATAAATGAAATTCTGCGAACACATTGATTTTATTTTGTAAAATTTTGGAATAATTTATTTAATCGGGATCGAATTATCTTAAAATCATCCCTTTCACGTTCCTAGCACCTTTGGTTACATATTCATGAAACTTACATAGCACCAAACACTACCTTTATAAAACTCTATAAAACCGTAAGACTAACTTTACAAAAAAGTCTGTACTTTTAAATTTTCTTAGTTCGGATTACATTTTTCCAAAAAGATATAAAATAACGTGAAATAAGTTTCTCTTCGGAAATTGATCCGATCAAACGTAACGGTTTCTCATCAATCAGCCATCGTAAAACGCATTCCGATC